GTTGGTCGCAAAAGAGAAGGCCCACCAGGACTGCTTTTCACGTCGGAGCTGGCGCAAGGGAGCTCGCCGGAAATAATGGTGGACGCCAGTTGTTGGCTCGAGTGGACAAACTAGAAGCGGCTGGCTCAACTGGATACAGCGTGATGGTCACCGGAAGTTGGCGGGTCTCGGAGAAAGACCGAGATGCCGGGAAGGGTGACGGCTGGACTGAAATCAGGCGACGGATTTTTTTTTTCTGATACGAGAGAGAGAGAGAGATAAAGAATAGAGATGAAGAGAAGAGAGGCCTTCGGCCGAGTCTTATGTAGAGGAATAACGGTGCGAGAGATTCTCACCGAAAAATCGAAACCGATATTTGAAATCGGGGAAGAAGAAGACGACTCGGTCGCATACGAAAGAAGAAAAAGGATGAACTGCTGGCCAATCTCATGGGCCAAGATTTAAAAGAAATTTGGGCTTAGGGAACTTAATTTCTCAATTGGCCCAAAAAGAAAATAAACTTATGGGCTGGAAAATTTTTAGGAAAAAGGCTTAGAACTTCATAAGTACTAGAATGAAATCGTTTTGAGACCGATATCAATCTCGAAGCTCGGAAGAAAAACGCGACAACACGCATTAAAATAAAATCGGACATTATATATATAATACACACCCTAATATTATTAATAATAATACGCATTTAAAACAATTAGACATTTAGGGACAATAATAATAAAAATAATAATAATAATAATAATAATAATAATAATAATAATAATAATAATAATAATAATAATTATGTAAAATAAATAATCCCAATTATTCATAAACAAACGGGGCGTTACAATCAGTGGCCCCCGTATCTACACACCAGGTACTGGTAGATAGCACCGCTAAACATGTTTCAACGACTAAAGCAAAAGGAGTACCTTTTTCGGGTTTCTTGGGAATAGGACAGTTCGCCTTCCAGTGTCCTTTCTGCTGACAGTTGTAGCACTTGCCTTTCGGCTTCCTTGCCTTTTGTCGAGGT